CTAAACCTGCGGCTTCCTTTACATATAGCCGCTTGGGATGTAGAAGCCTACCTTCAGGACAAAGCACACGCTTTGCAAAGCTGGATACAGGCAGGCTGCTCTTCCAGCTCTCTGTGCTTGGGGTGTTTGCTGTTCGACGCTTGTGATTGGGGCGACGGGAGCGATTTTTACGGGCTGAACCCTCAACCCGCAACTGTGTAACCCAGAGTTTTGGTGTTTCGGGCTCTAGCTGGAAGTCGGGACTTCGCGTTGTTCTGAGTTTGGGCTCCAGTTTTGGTTCAACGTGTGTGTTTCGCGCTCGTGTGTGCGAGTGCGTGCGTGCGTGCGTATGAAACCCTCCACCCCACGAGCGTATTTTGTCAGGAGACGGCCCCCGCACGGCAAGAGGCCTACGAGCAGGCTCGGAGCACCTTTGGTTCTTGACATTGAGCCTTTGGGCTGTGTGGTTAGGGCTTGCAGCTTCGGAGGTATGCGGTGGCTGAGGGGGTGGAGGCGGTTGCAGAAAAAGCCGAGACCGCTAGTAAGGATGTCAAGGTTTCAGTCGCCAGGCTGAAGTCCAGAAAACTTGAAGTCCAGCACCTACTCAACCTTCCGGGACTGCATTAATGCGAAGCGCCCTGAGTCTCTTGCTGTGAGGGGCTACGATGTACTAACCGCGTCAGCGTCAAAGGCTGTCAATGCAGTCCCTCTGCCATCTCGACGCCCACTCTCCTGGCCATGGACCTACACTACAGTCGCGATGTCTTGGAGTGGAACTGTATGCCCTACAGACTTTAGTCTGCGCTTCGCAACTCACAAAGCTTCTAAGATTGAAAAAGTCTGGAGTGCTTCGAGACAACTACCTGCTTTCAACGTCGAGCCTACAAAGGGTAATTAGCTCCCTTTGCCCAAGCCCTGCAAAAGACTTAGAGAAGTGCCTTCCACTGTGCACCTGCTGACAAAATAAGCCGCTGAAGGATGATATAACGCATGTACCTAGAATGTGACTCATTAATCCCAGAGGATCTTCCGAGCCTGAGCCAGTGGTGTGCTGTGCTCGTCCTTGCAGGCTCAGGTGCAGCTGTCTTCGCTTGGGACCCAGTGCCGTCGCCTGTACCGCTTTGACAGTGATTCCAGTGGCCCTACACCCTACATAATCCTGGCTTAGAGGCTTTGTACTGTTCATTGTCATTCAAGCCTTCAGGGTTTGACGAGTTGCGGTCGGCGGTTGAAGGGGTGCTATGTTGGGCCCTCGGGGTTTAGCTTCAGGCCAACAGGTCAATGTCGAGACATGAGGTCTTCCTCATTCGTTGAGGTGTCGGGAGAAGAAATGAGGACCTGGGTAACGATCCGATTCGGGTCCAAGGTTTCGTGATACCGTTTGGCATGCATTGCAAGTGCATAAACTTGTCCCGGGTTGCGGACTTTTGGAGGGCTTGAGCGTGCGTGGCAGGCATTTGCGTTGTCGAAATCAGAAGCGTTTAACTTGGGGATCGAGAACGGCCGTGGGTCTCCAGAGAACATAAGATCTCGACGGCAGGCTGTGGAATACAGTCCGGAGTCGAGGACAGCAGTGCTGCCGTCACGCTTCCGGGTTGCATCTGAGTGCCTACCCATGAATGCCACGCTGCCATGCTGTGGCACTTGTAATCGTGACTTCAGGATTCTCCTGCGAGCACTGTAAGATAGGTAGGGATGTATTCACGAACTCATAGTCGTAGCACCATAGCTTCTAGTAGTAGCAACCTTTTCAAGAAAACAGCCGTCCTAACTCTTGGAAGCCTTTGAGTGGCTTTGGAGTTCTGCTCTACGTCCGTGTCCCCGGCTGGCAAACCTTTGGCAGGGCAGCAGGCCCTACAAGAGAAATTGATGATTTATTAGTTTAGGGTGTTAACCTACAGGTTTCAATTTCAGGTTTAGTGGCTTAGGAGGTTTAGGATCTGGTATGATTTGGTTTAAAAGGGTTGCGGATTTACTTGAGGTTTCAGGATCTTCGGCAATGACTGCGCACTACAGGTTCTACAGCCCCAATAGAAGTCCTGATCTAGTTTGCCTGATAGGTAGCCTCCTGGCAGTAAAATCGTCCCACGTCTCAAGCTTCGGACCTCACATGGCAGGTTTGCCACCGAAGCAGCGACCTCCGAAACTGTGCCTCGGGTTGAATGTAGACCGGGCTGCTCAAGCACATGTAGCTTTTTGTTGTGGCGTGGAGGTGGACAGAGGTGAGGCCCTGTACCGTAGACCCCCCAGCATATGAAGATGATTGGGCTTTCAGGTTCCGTGCAATCTCTGGCACATGCCCACGAATCATGTAAATCAGTCGTAGAGTCTGCTTGAAGGGGATTACCGACACTTCTACAGAATCACGTGTATCCCGTAATTGACCTCAACCGTGTATGACCCTGCAGTATGGAACCACGTCAATTTAAGTTCGTGTTGTCGCCTTGCACGAGTGTGCAGAGTAAAAGTCTTCAGGTAGAACGCAAGTCTTTGTGTGGGAATGTTTAGCTATAGAAATTGCAGCATCTTCTTCTGTGGCGTTCGTACTGAGAATTCGATCAACACGCAGCGATAGATGAGCACGAGCTAAGAGACTCTCAATCTGGTCGTAAGACTATCGGTTCGGTTGAGGGCTGAGATTCGGGGGGAGGAGAAGGAGAATGAAGATTGTGAAGATGGTGATCGTCATCCTTTTCCTGAGCATGATGGTGTCAGCTACGGCAAAGACCCCAAAACCCAAGCCCAAAGACTTCACAGAGACTGGATCCTAAAGCCTACTCATGCGCCTGAACCCCGATCACCCCGAAACCCCGTCCCGGCATAGGCGGCCACTGCCGCAGCGAGGCTGGAGCTGCTGGATCTTCGGGGCTGCAAAGATCCCAACACTCTAAAGTTCCCAAGGTCTTAGGGCTTTGATTGAGGGCAGATGTAGGGGTTCAGGCTTCAGTGTTCAGGGATTTGAGGCGTTTTGTGGATTGTTTTGCCGCAGAGCTTGACCGTGACCTCCTTATAGAGTGAGTGAGAGAGTCAGAAGGTTTGCGATTGCAGGCGTGAGTCTTGGGGGATTCTCGTTCTCGTTTTGCACGAGACTTTTCCCAGATGAATGGCAAGGCAGATATCGTTTGATCGGGAGCCAGGAGCCCTGGAAGAGCGAACCAGAACCTTGAAGGAAGCCCCTAAGACCCCTAAACCCGCCGACACTCTGCAGAATTGCCTGTGCGAGAACCGGAGAATCTTGAGTGTACACCACTGAAACGAGGAATTCCTGGTTTCAAGCACCAAAGCCTTCAACGAGCCCCCACAACATGAGCAAGATTTGTAAAGAGAGCCTGGGAGGCTGAGCTCGGCGGCCGAATCGGCCTCTGGCCTCTTCGCCCGGCCCTGTCTGAGTTCAGGATCAAAGATTGCACGGTTTAGGGGTTTAGGGTTGTAATGAAGAGTTACAGCGTTGTGCGGGCATTGTGGGGTTGGAGGATGCGTTTCATGACGTGGCTTAGGATGTCGTGCTTTGGTGTGGTTGGGTGTTGAGGACGTGATGATCGATACGAACCGTGTGGTTGCGTCTTGTGGGCCTCATTGGGGACGAGATGGGTCTTTGGGACTTGTGGTGGTTGTCGGTACAGTTCTGCTCTAGGAACTACGCGAGATGATGCATGTTTTGTTAGTAGTTGCGTCCCTAATCGCGCACTGGAAAAGTTGACATCCTTACGCATGAGATGAGCGTTAAATATTGAGAATGTTCTCAATATTTCTGAATCGTACGAACCTAGATGCAACGTGTAGGACGTCTGACTTCGTTGCTGTAAGTCTCGTTTCAACCATGCGCGCGCACGTCTGGCTCAGGAGAGAATTAAAGTGGGCAAGGTTTTGCAGCCTTTGCCACTGCCTGTCATCTCGCTGGTAAAGTGCGATGCTGCCCTTCATGAGGACCAAAGTCAACTTATTTCTTCGGGACCGAACGAACCCCAGAGCATAGATCGCAGTCCCCTCTTCCATTTGCCATGGCACTCCGCACAAGACCGCGGCGGCATAGCCATTTGGTGAGCGCCCCTCAGCAGAGCATGAAGCCAATCCATTGGTTTACTCGTCATAGAGTGGTAGTCGTCGTAGTAGCAATGGTAGTACTAGTAGGAGCAGCAGCAGCAGAAGTAGTAGTTGTATGTTGCTACTGCTACTGCAACTACTACGACTGTTGCTGCTACTACTAGATACTGCTACTACTACTACTACTACTACTACTACTACTACTACTACTACCACTACTACTACCACCACCACTACTACTACTACTACTACTACTATTATTATTACTACGACTACTACCACTACTACTACAACGACTGGTGCTGGTACAGGTACGGGTACTGGTACCGCTAGGCGTACTGGTACGAGTACAGGTACCGGTACTGCTACTGTTACTGCTACTGGTAGTAGTAGTAGTAGTAGTAGTAGTAGTAGTAGTAGTAGTAATAGTTGTTGTAGTAGTTGTGGTTGGTGGTGATGGCGATGATGGTGATGATGGTGGCATTGTTGCTGTTGGTGTTGTTGGATGTTGTTGGATGGTGTTGGCGTTGGTGTTGTTACTGCTATCGCTAGTAGCTGTCGTTTCCGTGGCGGCAGTAGCATTCGCGCGGGCAGAAGGATGGGCAGATGAGCCTCTCCCAACAGCAGTGGTGTTAGCATCGGAGACGAAATGAGAGCCGAGGTGGCAGCTGGCGTGATCCTCTTTTGCAGGACCGATTCGGGGATTTCCCTTGGTTTTGGGGGACTTAAACCCCGAGTTCTGCCCACAGAAGAATCATGCATGAAAGAACCGGCCAGCCCCAGCGAAAAGCTACCGTCGATGTGTGTTGAAGGAGCTTGAGCCCCGACGCTCCACTCAGCTTTGACCTTCTAGGCTCGGAGTCCACTGCTCTGCCTTCAGGCTCCAAGAGTGTCTTCTCAACTACGGCTGCAGTCTACTCGGCAGAAGAAGCTCTTGGTTTCCAGATTGTAGGCGTTGCGGTCGAATGACTTAGGGCATGCTTCAAGGTATCTCTGCCACCGTTTCCATCCAGAGCGAGGGTAACCAGTGCTCGCTATGCCTACATGATAGCAGCACATGCTAAGTTATGTCCCTTGCGCTTGTGGTTTAGGTTTAAGGTTTGCTTCGCTTGCAGGTCAGAAGAAGAGCACTGCCAAGCAAGCGGACTTGGAGGCCAAGCAAGCCGAATTGGAGGCCGGATGCAACGACCGGCTTCACCTGCGTTGTGTGAACTCTTGCTGTCGTCGGGTTCCGCCCATCTTGCGCCAGAAGTGTTGTGCTTGAGGGCATCCAAGATTTTGTGTAGGATGCTCGAAGTTGTTCGATTAGAGAACAGCCAGCGACTATTGGTGAGGCATCCCGCTCTAGGAACCTTCGTCACGTCGGAGCGAGAAGCCATAAGGCCTTCAAGCTTCAAACCAAGAAGACCCCGGCCGATCCGTGGTTGAGGCAAAACGCCAGGAGGCAGAGCAGAAGGAGCGCGAGAAGCAGCGACAGAAGGAAGCAGAGGAGGCGGCAAGCCTTACACTTGGAAGGGGCTTCAGCAACTCAAGATTGCGATCGTCTTTCTTTATGGCGTGGGGTTTATTTATGTTATGGTCGTTTTGGGTGTTATGATGGAATACTAGCAATACCCGGCTCATGTAGGGTCTGATGCAAAAGGTCGAGACCGAAAGGATATGAGTAGCACTGGCACGATTGGCCGCACACACTTCTTGTGCTTGCATTATGTTACCGGTAGCAGTAGGGAACGTATGATGCTTCTCACGTTGTCCAACGAGCATTACTGGAAGTGGGGTTGCAGCAGCCGTCGCCAAGCAGGCTTGGGCTGCAAAGGAATAGCTTTGCCGTGAGCGCAGTCAGGAGGCGAAGCGGAAGCAGGCAGAAGAGGAGGAGGAGCGGACACTGGGCATTTCGAACCTTTAAGCTCGCAGCCGCAAATCCTGAACCGAGGCAATTTAGGACTTTAGGGTTGCATTTCGCGTCTGGAGAAACGTACAGCAAAGGCTTCTTAAGTGCAGGCTGGCTAGCCGGTTTGTCGCGGACCTGTGGCATGGGCTTTACGGTTTTCGGCTTTAGGCTGTTGCAAAGACACCCCAGTACTCGTAAGGCAACCCTCATTAGATCGGCAAGTTGGCCCTGAGCCCATTTCATCAGCTCAGGAAGCGGCGACGAAAAGAGCTCATCGAGAAGGAGACCGATGCCGTGAGGTTACGCTTTACGACAGACTGGGGTTTCGGGAGGGTTCAGAAGGTTTCCGAGTCAAAACGGTTCACAAGGCATAAGATCAAAAGGGTGTTGGTTTTGGGCTCACCACCCTAAGTCCTCGGGGGCCAAAGTGCATAGCGGACTGCTTGCGATTCCAAAGGTTTTCGGCTTCGAAAGGATTTAGACCTCACAGAGCTCACCACCGAAGGGATCAAGACGGCTTCGAGTCTGTGGAATGCTGAATGTTTAGGCACCCATACTAAAGCTACAAGGGCTTATTGGGCTTAGGAGTCGAGTCTTCGGGATGTGGGTTGGGCTTTTACTTGGGATCCGCCTTTCATCGTCAGTCGTCCTGCGCATGCGATAGTTCCGAATCTCCGGGCCCTCAGCCCGCGATGTCCAGGAGTAGACTTGATAGTCGCCGAAGAAGTGCACCGGAATCTGGAGCCTAGAGCGGTCACCATGCAAGTAATGAAGCCTAATTGAATTGACTGAGCACCCGGAGCCTGCGGCGTAATACAATCGGATGAAAGCTTCAAACAGACTCACAGCTGTGGACGAGGCAAGCGCAAAAAGCTGCACATCGCCCCTTGAATTCTTACGAGGACTTGTGCTCGCTTTCGTAGTACCTAGCAGACCTAGCAATATTCCTGGCTGTTCCTTGGTCGTTCAGACCCCGTGGCCCGTTTCCCATTTCCCAAGACGAATTCTACTTTACACTTTACCGGACCGTTTCATAGTTCCAACATAGGATCCTCGCATGGCTTTGTCACATCTTCAGAGTTTCGGATTCCGAGCATTCAGAAAATCAGCACGGATTTTTGTCGATTGCCCCATGCTGCGGTGTGCTTCATCGTCGCAAGGGCAGGAATTGTGATCTAAGCTCTGAGACTTGAGTGATTGAGTTCTGCGATTTGATCTGTCTCAAATAACGCGTGTGTATACAAACCGTGATTGTGCGCGAGCATAATACATGGCTTCTGTAGCTTGAATACTAGCCGTGGTGGGGCAGTAACAGTAGCAGTAGTCGTAGCACAGTCGATGTCGTCGTGTCGCCGCAGGTAGTCGTAGCCGTAGCTCCAGTCGTGGTAGTGGTAGTAGTTTGGTAGCAGCAGTAGTAGTAGTCGTCGTCGTAGTAGTAGGAGGAGTAGTAGTAGTAGTAGTAGTAGTAGTAGGAGTAGGAGTAGGAGTAGGAGTAGTAGTAGTAGTAGTAGTTGTTGTTGTTGTAGTAGCAGTAGCAGTAGCAGTAGTAGTAGTAGTAGTAGTAGTAGTAGTAGTAATGTTACTATTCTTATCATAATTAAATGTTATTGTTATTGAGAGTGTCATCATCAGGATCATCAGTATCACCAT